TCGATTTGTTCTTGACTCTCAGGATATGCAATTGCAAGTATCTCATGCATCCACATGAGGGTCTGCAAAAGTGTACGCGGTCCATATTCGCCTGGAGCAAGCGAACCAGGAGGTATGAACGGAGAACCTGGTTCGCCTGCAATGAAGGCCTGAACAAATGCTTGAGACTCCATTTCAATTAAGTCTTCAATAGTATGGGGATATTCTCCCAGCAGAAAAGGCCTGTGTCCAGGCGGGATTTCGGGCGGAGGTTCGAGGTTCCGTTGAACCTCGGAAGGCGAAGCCTCTATAGTGGAGTCCTCGTCGTCGCTCTCGTAGGCCATGATGTTGCCTGGGTTCCCGAACATCCAGTCGAAGAAGGAAAGAGGCTCGTTTCCGAGCGTACCGTGTTCCACGGGAGTGAGTTCATTACTGCCCGTGACGAACCGGCGGACGTACTCGAGGTAATACGCGTATAGTCCATGACCATACCCCTCGAGCTCGTCAATGTTGTCCATGCCAACGACCCATGTGAAAAATATCTGTTACATAGCCTCAAAGTCCTGGAGGCTCAGATACTCAATGGATGGTGTGCTCGAGCCGAAATGGACTTCGGACGACATGCCCTTTCCATTTCCCTTCGCTGGACAATCTCGCACAAGATGATCGGAACTACCACATTCATGGCATTTGAGAACCTGGCCGTCTCTACCTCGCGGGTTTCCCCGCCTACCTTTACCTTTACCTGAGGTCTCTCTACGGCCTTTACCACGGCCTTTTCCCCCAAAGAATATCTCATCATGTTGTTCATCTGAGAGCCTCTGGAGAAATGCCGCGATACCTCGCCCGTTCAACCTCCGACGACCACGCTTGCCTTTACCCTTTCCTTTAAAACTTCTGCGTATCCTCCTTCTAACACGACGCACTGGTTTTCGTGTGAACCTCCTCCACCTTCGTTTGGCCTGTTGTAACAGCCAGAATAAATGCTCAGCACGCTGATTGTCGTTATCCATATTCATGATATCTGACCAATCTAGAGCTTCAACACCATCTGATGATATAGTGTCTGTATCGGTGCCGGAGTCGAAGTCTTCGTCTCCTAAATAGGTGGATGCACCGTCGGTTAGGGGATTTGATTCCCCCCATAACGAGCGGTGTGGTTGTGGTTCTCTAGAAGGAGGGCTGGTTGCCCAGCTTGGTTGTGATCGATCCCCTGCTAATAAAGCAATGGATTCTCCTGGGTCATCGGCCCATATGCTTGAGGGCCCGTTTCCAGGCTGGGCTTCAGTGGTCAAGGTAGTGTAGAAATTTCCGCTACCAGGTCCCCTTCCCCTTCCAAACACAGATCCTATGTTACCAGGAGACCGTTCGGATAGGTGGCCTATCGAACGCATCCTCTCCAGCAACTCATCATACTGTTGTTGTGTTCGAGGCATTTGGTGGTTGAGTGGCTGTAAGAGTTGCGTGGCCTTCTGGTTGCCGACGCCTAGGGCGCGGAATAGGATAGTAGTTAACAGTTGGAAGTTGGGAAGGTCGAATCCCACCGACTGTGCCTCAAGTCGGGCCATTTCGAATCGGGTGAGAGTAACATCGATTCGTTCCCCGTGAGGCACATGGAAGTCAATAAGTTGTGTGCCGGAAGTGAGCTGTCGCTCATCTTCCAGGCGTTCGAATTTCATGCTGAGGAGAAACATGATATAAGTTACTGGGTCTGTGTGGACCCCGTCGATATCAGCACCATAGTTTATGATGTCAGGCGGTACCCTCATGGCGAGTGTCCTCGCTAGGCCTCCCAGGCCGCGTTGTATTGCGGCCGCTTGGGCCTGTGGCGTCATACGTCCGCTTGTAACGTTGAGCCACGCGTTGACCTCGTAAATGTACTCACGAAAAGGTACATTACCCTGAGGGTCCCAATATGGGCCATGTGTTTGCCCATCGGTGCTGTTATCTCCCCGACGCATGTGTGCGATTGCTGCCCCCAGCGCGAACCATATGATAGCGAAAACGATTAGCCCGAGAATGTGTAACGAAGGACGGTTATGATGAGCGGTGTCGCGCTGGGGTAGCGCCTTGTCGAGTCTTCGAGGCGCTCTGTCTGGCGGGTTTCCCCGCCCTTGCTTCAGGTATTGCGTTATTGGCTCGTTGCCGAGCGGTTGATAGTAACGCAATGATGAAGCGTATATGGTACCAATCTGGTCGTCTAGACGTCGTACCTCTCGTGTAGCTTCTTGCTCTTGAATAGATCCTCGTAAATGTACTGGGAGTGGTGGCGCAGGGTAGTAGGTGGTCACGAAGATCGTGCCGAAGAATGTGAGGCTGAGAAGAGCAAGAGCTGACCACACGAGAGTGCGGCCAGCTCCGCTACCAAGTCGAAAGTGAGCCTGGTAACTCAAATAGGGCATATAGCCTGGCAAATAGCATCCATCGCTCTGCTGTGAGGGTACAGTATGAGGGGCGGATGGGTAAGATAGGATAAGATCGATGTAATGATCTTTCCAGCACATAGCGAACACAAGCAGTGTCCGGGCAAATAGGGCGCGCGTGCCTTGAGCCCAAGGCAGCGGCGCGCGAGCTATGCTCCCGATACTATAACATCTCCCAAAGAGCTACCCTCAAAGTGATTGATGATTCAAGCAGGTGCTGGAAATAGATTGGGACCTAGAAACCTAGAAATACCTACTTTCAACGACCGGCGTGTACTGCTGGGCCGACTGGCTGAGGGCCCGGTGGATCAAGGGCCACCTGGACGAGGAGGAAGTGCTGGGGAGGGGGCTTCCCTCGAGGACGCGGGCGACGCAGTGGTCGACAGGCTAGCCCAGAGCGGCCTCCGGCACCGTTTCCGGACAGATCCGCTGGATCCGCCGACGAATCCTTCGCTTGAGACATCCTCACAAAAGAGGTCAGAGCGGCCTCCGGCACCGTTTCCGCCGACGAATCGCAAACCGGCGCCCTCGCTTGAGACATCCTCACAAAACCGGCCCCGGGGGAGGTGCCCAGAGGAGCCCAGAGCGGCCTCCGGCACCGTTTCCGGACAGATCCGGTGGATCCGCCGACGAATCCCAAACCGGCACCCTCGCTTGAGACATCCTTACAAAACCGGCCCCGGGGGAGGTGCCCAGAGGAGCCCAGAGCGGCATCCGGCACCGTTTCCGGACAAATCCGCTGGATCCGCCGACGAATCCCAAACCGGCACCCTCGCTTGAGACATCCTCACAAAACCGGCCCCGGGGGAGGTGCCCAGAGGAGCCCAGAGCGGCCTCCGGCACCGTTTCCGGACAGATCCGGTGGATCCGGTGGATCCGCCGACGAATCCCAAACCGGCGCCCTCGCTTGAGACATCCTCACAAAACTGGCCCCGGGGGAGGTGCCCAGAGGAGCCCAGAGCGGCCTCCGGCACCGTTTCCGGACAGATCCAGTGTATCCGCCGACGAATCCCAAACCGGCGCTCTCGCTTGAGACATCCTCACAAACCCGGCCCCGGGGGAGGTGCCCAGGTAAGCCCACCCCTGCGTCGCTCTAGCGGCGCGAGCGGCAGGTGCTGGCGCTGGAGGGGGTTCACTTGAGTACAAACAACCCGTATATCAAGGACGCACGAGAAAGATGCAAGGGCCTTGGAATGCTATGCCGGCACTTTGCGAGCGGGGCGCGGCCAGCAAAAGCGGCTAAGGATGGGCCGAAGGGGAAGGACGCAAGGGTACCTTTGGGAAGGTTGCCATCCTCACCATGCGGGTCGACTGTGAGGTTGGGGGGTGCCAAGCTTGCAGAACACCTCAAACGGAAGTCAAGGGGCACAACCAACCTGTTCGGTCAAGCTGAAGCTGATGCATCAAATCAAGCTTTGGACAGATCGTGAAGCGCATGGCTGGATTTTCCCCCACGTCGCCCACTGTGCCGCAGGAGGAGGAGGAGGAGGAGGAGGACCACTGTAAACCAAAAAGGCATCAACGATGTTGCAATACACTCTCCCTTCAAGCTCCCTCTTCACAGGCCCCTACAACGGGTCATGTTTACTGAAGGAACTGCCTCGTTGGAAGACAACTGTTTGTGGAAGACCCTGAAGCATGCCAAGATATTGTTCTCGGGATTCCAGCGCCACGGATCAACCTGACTATTGCATCTTGATGATCCTGAATCGTGCCAGCACGCCAATCCTGGGACTTGAACACCGCGAATCAACATAACTCTCGCACCCTCATAAGCAAGGGCTCCCAACTTCGCGCTTCGCGCTGCGCGAAGCGCGAAGTGCGAATAAATTCGCGCTTTCGCGCCGCCTCCCAGGGGAGAAGAAGAGGATTAGGAGGAATCGGAGCCGAACCGCAAAGCGCGAAGCGCGAATAACTTCGCGCCCTCGAGGGCGCCCAAGACGAGTGTGCGCAGCGCTAACGCGAGAGCCACATTTTGAAAACCACCCGCCCTCAATCCGTGAAACTCTCGCAAATGTTTAAAACGAATGTGCACGGCGCTAAGGCGAGAGCCACATTTTCAAAAGAAACCGCCCTCAATCCGTGAAACTTTTGCAAATGTTTCAAGACGAGTGTGCGCGGCACTAAGGCGAGAGCCACACTTAAAAAACTACTCGCCCTCCATAGGTGAAACCATTGATCGTGTGTTAGATGAAAAAACACCCACCCTCAATCCGTGAAACTCTTGCACATGTTTTAAACGAATGTGCGCGCCGCTAAAGCGAGAGCCACATTTTAAAAACCACCCGCTCTCCATATGTGAAACTGCTGCCACGGTTTAAGCTTCAGAGACATAAATGGTTAGGAAGTCTCAAGCGAAACGCCCGGCCCGCCCTAAAAAATGGCTTCGGGGTGCGACAGGGAGAAATTATTTACAAGGGAAAGGAATGGAGGAGGAGGAGGAGGAGGAGGACGAAGAAGAAGAGGAGGGAGGAGGGAGGGAGGAGGAGGGAGGAGGGAAAGGAGGAGGAGGAGGAGGAGGAGGAGGAGGAGCCTTGGCAGCGGTCGAGCTGTCGGCCCTCGAAGCCAACCACGGCTGCACCGCGCCACCAGGCAGGCCCCGGGTGCGACACCGCTGGGCAGCGGTCCGGCGCGCAGCAGGTCGGCGACGCAGCCCAAGGCCAAGGCGCCAGCAGCGCCGCGTGCCCTGCGGCGCCCGCCTCCGCCGCCCGCGGCGGACGCCGCCCAGGCGCCTCTTTCTTGCGGGCGGTCCTGGCGGGCTCGCGCCGCCTCGCAAGGGCCTGGCTGGGTAGCCCGCCTGCGGTGCGGCGGCACGGCGCCTCGCTGGGGGCGCCCTTCCCGCTGGCCCGTGCGCGGGAGGGGCGCCCGCCCTGCCCCCGCGCGTGGGCGCGCTGCTCTCCCGCTGCTGGCGAGGCGGACTGGCGGCGGCGAGGGCGCACGGCGAGCGGCCCTGCGCGCCCGACAGGCCGCCCGCGCGGGCGCGCCGGGGGCGCTGAGCCAATGAGCTGCGGCGTCGGCCCCCCTGGCTCGGCCCCTCTCCCTCCCTCTCTCTCTTCCCGCCCCCCCCCCCCCGGCCTGCTCTCGTCGCCACATGGCTCCTGCCGCGCCTGTGAAGAAGTGGCGCTGCCCTCGCGGCCCTTAGTTAACGGCCTGATCCGAAAAGAGCAGGGGGGGGGGCTGATACGAGCGTCAGTCCCTGGACAGAAACCTCTATTGAGATTCATACTCTCTGAGAAGGCAGCACGGCTGCAATCCTCCACCTCAATTTATCGCTTGTCCCTCCTCCCTCCTTCACCCTTTCCTCCATCCTCCCCGTATCCCTCCCTCCGCCTGCTCCCCCCGTTCCTTCTCTTACTGTTACTCCTCTTTCCTCCCTCCCTTGCCTCTTCCGCCTCCTCTTCCTCTTCCTCTTCCTCCTCCTCCTCCTCCTCCTCCTCCTCCTCCTCCTCCTCCTCCTCCTTCTCGTCCTCCTCACCGTCCTCAGCAGCAGCAGCAGCAGCACCACCACCACCATCCTCTCCCTTTGCCCCCGCGGTGCGGTCACTAAAAAACGTCCCGTCTGACGGAGAGGCTCGCGCGCCTGGTCCTGCACATCCTTCGGCGCGGAGCTCTGGGCAGCGTACCACTTGCCTCCCGCGAGGGGAGAGGGGTAAGAAGGAGGGGGGAGGAGCGAGCAGCGAGGACGGAGGCAGGAGGAGGAGGCGGTAAGGAGGAGGACGAGAATGGGATCAGACGTTGCCTGGGGCAGTGGGGTCAGCGAGGGTGTGAAAGAGAGAGAGAGAGACATGCAACAGACAAGCCAAGCCAAGTCAACTCCTGGCAAGTCACGTCAAGCCAAGTCAAGACAGGACATACAGGCAGACAGACACACGTACACAGCCCAGGCGAGCAACCTTGGTGACGCAGCAGCTGGCGGCCCGCAGGCCCGACCTCGGAGCGCAAATCGAGTGCCACGGACGCCGGTGCTGGGTGGCCCCGTGGGCACCACTTGGCAGCGCGCACAAGGGGATAGGGGAAGGGGAGAAGGCTTCTTAGACGGACGCCGCTTCTCAGAGACGCCGGCCGTACATCTTTAGACGGGGCCCGCGCCTTCTCAGAAGCAGCGGCGGCGGCGACGTCGGGTCGGACAGAATCCGCTCAAAGTCTGCCCCCGAGCCCTCCTGGGGTCGCACGCGACCACTTCTCTCAGCTGCGCCCCGCCGTGGAAACGATGGCCTTCATGAGCATCGTTTAACCGATCCCCATCCCCACAGGCGTGGGCTGGGCCCCACTGGCCGATCTACCCTCCAGATGGGGATATAGGCTGCTCTCTTCGGATTTTTTCGAGGGGCACATCCCCAACTGAGGTGGTGAGACGGTGGGGCTCGAGATGTGGATGGGGATGGGGATGGGGATGGGGATCGGTTGAACGATACTGACTTCAGAAGCGAAGGAAGAAAACGAAAAGCAAACGCCGTCGTTGCCGTCTTCGCCGGCGTCGACGACGACGACGTCCCCGCGCGCCCGCACCCCAGGCCTTCAGCGGCCGACGGCGGCTGCCACTGCGGCGGCGGCGCGAGCTCGACGCCCTGGGGCCCGGGGGCGTCGCGGAGGCCCGACCGTCCGCCCGCCGCCGGCCGCCTCGCCCGACACCGCGCGAGAGATCGAAGTTCGAGGACGGATCGATGATCCCCAGAACGTGTGTTGGCTCCAACGTGTGCTTGTCCATGGAGGCCCTTCGATACGACGCAGGCGATGTAATGATCTGCTGGTTGGGCTGAAAGGGTAACTACACATCGGGCTAGCGCACGTCCTGGGGATCATCGAACCGAGGTTTCTGATACGGCCAGGCCCAGGAAAGGAGGCCACCACTCCGTCGCGTCATGGGACGTGCGCGAAGCCCGGCCGTGGAGGCTCGCGGACTGGGCTCGCGGGGTCGGGGGCAACGCTGTGGGGCGGGGGACGTTCTCACTTCCAGGTTGCGGCCCGACCTAGGGCAGGAGAACATCCTTCCAGCACATGAGACCCTCCGGTGGCCAAAAAAATTAAGAACATTCAAGGGTACCCTCCCCCAAGATGCATAAAAGAATCCAACCGACACGAAGAACGTCAGGGAACCCTCCCCGAACCGACCCCGATATCATACCTCGGCCCGACCGTATAATTTCTGTAGACTTCTAAAGCCAGTGAGTGGCTCGCGCGATCCATAATCGGGGATCTTCTGACCCAGGTCAATCCAGACCCGGGTCAGTGAGGCCTTGCAGAATCCTGCAAGATCTCGCAGGATCCTGCGGGATCCTGCACCACAGCCCGGGTCAATGCGACCCTGGCCCTGCAAGATCCTGCAAAATCGGGGGCGTTGACTGACACCGCTTCCATTGACTCCCGCTTCGTGAGCCCGGACACAATCGGTGGCCCGTGGTCTCCGGTCGCGGTCTCCTGTCGCCGCCCGTTGCCCCCCCGCTTCACCGCCAAGCACTGGCCTCAACGACGCGCGGGCCGCGGGCGTGCACTTCCAAGCGCATTGACCATGGCGTCAGCTTCGCGTCGCCACGTCCCTCCTCCCTCCTCTAAGACGAAACCAGGACAAGGACAAAATCGGGTGCAGATAAATCGAATCTCCGAGATCCGGCGGCTCTGGAGGATGTCTCGTCCCAGCTCCGTCCGATCCTCCCTCCTCCCTCCGCCCTCCTCCTCCTCCCCCCCTCCTCCTCCCCCTCCTCGCCGCGCGCGGTCCACGTCTGCGCGCCCTCAAACCAGAGCAATGCATCACCCGAAAGCCAAGCCCCCCCCCCCCCCAAAAAAAAAGCAGACCCAGAAAAACAAGCCCATGCTGGAATCAGCTCAAAAGTTTCCCGAAACAACTGAATGCATCGTGGACCGCGCAAGTGCCCATCTCGGCCACCCGAGACAGACGAGAAAGTCGATGACGACGACGATGATGATGACGACTACGAAGCTCAGCCCCTGCTGCGACGCCTCCGCCACGCACTCCAAGAACTACTACCTGCCTACCCCAGCGGCCAAAACGCCCAACAACAGTGTCCAACAGAGCGCGGGGGCAAGCGCAAACGCGTCGCACATGAGTTTTCCGACACGACAGCGGACAATTTCAACTCATAGAGCGTTGCGGCTGTACTCGCCCCTGGGGCTCAGCTCGCTCGACCAACGCGCACCTTCGGAGAGACACCACACGGTGAAACTGAACTTGCAACGCCGAGACAACGCCCCACACGCACATTCACACGCACATTCACACGCACATTCACACGCACGCACGCACACGCACATACATACATACCGGCCCACCTAGATTACATGACATGACATTACATTGCATTACACTACATTAAATTACGTTACATTACATGACAATAACTTACATGGTATTACATTACATTACACCACACTACATTACATGTATAGTTACCTGTACATCTACATTGCTTGTACATTACAATTACACGACACGAACATGACATGTACACTATATTTCAATCACATGTACATTGCACTTGCATTACAATTACATCATAATTACAATCCAACTGCATTATACTTACATTACAATTACAATACATCACACTACGTTACGCTACAAAGTATTACATTACGTTACAGTACTTTACATTGCACAACATTACATTGTATTGCACTACACTGCATTAGAATACATTACGTTGCATCGCATTACATCACATCACATTACAGTACATCACATCACAGTACATTACATGTACAAATACATTACACTAAAGTTACACTACAGTTACAGTACGTGTACACAATATTTACATTACGTCTACATTACGTTTACATTACCATTACACTTCATTACATTACATTACGTTACACGTCATTACATCTGCATTACAATACGCTACATTACTTTACATTCCATTGCATTACATTCCATCCCATTCCATCCCATTACACTACATTCAATACATTATATGACATCATATTACATTACATTACATTGCATTACATTACATTACAGTACAGTACATTACATGACATATACGCATACATAGGTACGTGAATGCATACATGTATGCATACATACATACATACAACACACAGCTCATATTCACACTGACACCCACACTGACACTTAGACTCCCTTGTTGTGGTTCTCTCTCTCCGCAGCGTTGCAGCAGGAACTGGCGGGACAGTACCTGGCCTCGTGACGAGCTGCGGGACCTGCACGCGGAGAACACGCGCCGCCCACGGACCGCACCGAACGGAACACGCTTCGGCGGCCAGCCCAGGGGGGAAGCGAGAGGGGGAGGGCCTTCTCAGAAGGCTCGCAACTCCCCCAGCCTTGAAAGAAATGTTCGAAGCCTTCCACAGAGACACAGAAACTTCTCAGAAGGCGAGAGGGCTTCTGAGAAGTCCTGCCGCCTTCTGAGAAGGCCTTCTCCTTCTCATTTCCCCCCCTCGCTCGCCGCCGAACGATTACAGATGAGCCCACGCGGCGACGGGCACACCCGGGATCAGCACGAAACTATCGCGTTTGGCCCAGTGCCGCCCGCACAACACACCGCCGCACTTCGCCTCGGCGATGCTGCCCCCCCTCTCGCGGAGAGCTCCTCGCGCGTGCGCTCGCTTGCACTCGGCCTCGTGCTCGCTGGGCGCAGCACTGCACGCGCGCCTGCCCAAACGCTGTGCTTCGAGTGTGGCTCGCTGACGCCACCGTGTATTCGCCTGCGGCCTTGGGCGTCCTTCCACGCCTGAACGACGCCAGCGCCCAAGATGGCTTTGGGGCCCACTCGGGGATCTGCGGTCAGTCCACACCCCAGTCAGTCAGGCTTTGCAAGATCCTGCAAGGTCCTGCAGCGTCCTGCATAACCCGGGCCAGGGCAACCCTGGCTTTGCAGGATCCCACAAAATCCGGCGCTCTGACTGACCCACGTTTGCATTGACCCCCGTCTCAAGACCCCCGATCCACTTGTTTCACGAGTGACCCGGTCACCTGCCCAAGGACGACGAGGACGACGACAAAGACCCATGAAGATATGGCCAGACCTGGGGCAGACGAAGATCCTGCAAGAACATGGCACCCTCCGCTGGCCAAAACACCCCAAACCTTGAGATCGCTCGAGGGCAACCCTCCCGCAGGATGCACAAGAACATCCAACAAACACGAAGAACCTTACAGTGGGAGCTCGACCACAAGAAACCTTCGACGAGAGACCCAACCCTGAGACCCCAGGTCGTCCATTAATTTTTGGTGGGGACGTCACGCTTTCCATAGCAGAATCATCGAAAACCAAGCAACCCAGGGCACCCTGCAGGCAAGCAGGGTGTTCCTTGGAATGGGCTTCCACTGCAGGGTACCCTCCCCGAACCGACCTCGATCTTACACCTTGGTCCGGCCATGTTGTGCGCATGCTCCAGACTTCAACAAGATGCTCCCAAGAGGCTTCCAAGAGATCCCCAAGAGGTTCCAAGAGGCCTCCCAGGGGCTCCCAAGACGTCTCAAGAGGCGTCCCAAGAGAAAGAAGCCCGAAACGAGGCATCTGGCCTTTCTGCTCGCCCTCCTCCTCCTCCGCCTCCACCTCCTCATCATCATCATCACCATCATCATCATCATCATCATCATCAACATCATCATCAGCAGCATAAGCATCATCATCATCGTCATCATCATTGTCATCATCATCATCATCATTGTCATCATCACCATCATAATCATCATCATCAGCATCATCATCAGCAGCATAGTCATCATCCTCATCATCATCATCATCAGCATCATCATCATCGTCATCGTCATCGTCATCGTCATCATCCTCCTCTTCTTCATCCGCCTGTTCCTCCTCCGCCCTCTTCCCTCCTCCCCCTCCCCCTCTGCCTCCTCCTCCTCCTCCTCATCATCATCATCATCCTCCTGTTCATCCTCCAATTCCTCATCCTTCCTCCCCCTCTTGGGGTACGACGTCTTACCCAGCCTGTTATTCCACTGCACTCTCCTTCAAATCCCTGATCAGGGCAACTCGCCTAGGTGGTACCGTTCCTGGATGGGTAGGTGGGGTTACGCGAAGCGTTTAGAATACACATATATCTTACAAGCCATGGATATGTCGATAAATCGACACGCATGTCTACACTACATATACATTCTATCTATGTACGCACTTATAGTATAGTATATGTATGTCGACCTCACTATCGATACATTGATCTCATAATATGTCGATATCACAGTCCATCTATCAATACCAACATATCTCGACCGCACGATCGATCGATCGATCGGTACCAATATCAACCTCACTACCGATATCTCTATCGACCTCATTGTTTATGTGTCAGTATCAACATCTACCCGTCGATCTCACGATCGATCCATCGGAACAACCAGGGAGTTACCAGCGCATGTGTTGTTGCAGGTAGGCCAAAATCTCGAGGCGCCGGAAACGCCGAGCCAATAAAACGTCGGAGCAACCATCGGCACAAACATCGGCACTTGCTCTGGCTTCGCGCTGGCAACGGCGGGGTGACTCATCTCCCCCGCGCACGACCACCCCAGAGTTGGGGCTTTGACAACGCGCATGGTGATCGGCACATACTTCGGGAAACTCCTTCTGCGTGTGCCATAAGCTCCCCCCTGGTCCTCCCAATTCCATTCCCGACCGCGCGCCTCATTTCACAACAAAAATTCCCATGCTTTATCTTCTTACACTACGATGCCATAATAGACGATACGGTCAAAAACTCAGACGGTATACGTGCCCGGTGCGCGTTTCCTCCACCCTAATCCCGCCTTCGTCTTCCTACTTCCTCCTTCCTCCTCCTCCTCCTCCTCCTTCTCTTCTTCTTCTTAATAGTATTATTCTTATTATAATTATTACTAGTTTTATTATTATTTTTATTATCATTGTTATTATTATTCGTCTTCTTATTCTTCTTATTAATATTATTCTTATTATTATTATTATTGTTATGGTTCGTCTTATTATTAGTGTTAGTATTATCAGTCTTATTAGTTGTCTTATTATTCTTCCTATTATTAATATTATTGTTAGTGTTAGTATTATTATTCTTATTCTGATTATTATTATTATTAATCGTATTACTGTTTTATTTTTAATCTTATTTGTCTGATTCGTCTTCTTATTATTATTATGATTATGCTTCTTATTATGCTTCGTCTTCTTCTTATTATTCTTAGTATTCTTCTTGTTCTTCTTATTATTATGTGTTTATTGTTAGTATTATTATTCTTATTATTATTATTATCATTATTATTATGTGTCTTATTATAATTCTTATTATTAGTCTTATTAGTCTTCGTTTTCTTCGTCTTATTATTCTTCTTATTATTATTATTCCTCCTCCTCCTCCTCCTGCTCCTCCTCCTCCTCCTCCCCCTCCTCCTCCGCCTCCTCCTCCAACTCCTCCTCGGACTCATCCGCCTCCTCCTCCTCGCTCCTCTATCCTCCTCCTCCTCCTCCTCATCATCATCAGCATCATCATCATCCTCATCCTCATCCTCATCATCATCATCATCATCATCATCATCATCATCATCATCATCATCATCATCTTCATCCTCCTCCTCCTCCTCCTCCTCCTCATCATCATCATCATCAGCAGCAGCATTATCATCCTCATCCTCATCCTCATCCTCATCTCATCCTCATCATCCATCATCATCATCCTCATCATCATCATCCTCATCCTCCTCCTCCTCATCATCATCATCATCAGCATCAGCATCATCATAATCAGCATTATCAGGATCATTATCATTATCAGCACCATGATCATCATCACCGTCATCAGCATCATCAGCATCATCACCATAATCAGCATCATCATCAGCAGCGTCATTATCGGCATCATCATCATAATCAGCATCGTCATCATCATCATCATCGTCATCATCATCATCGTCATCATCAGCAGCAGCAGCCGTCACCTCATGCCCTCTTCCCAGAGACATTAAGAGGAACAGGAGCCAACGTCGTTTGTGCACAGCTGCTCGCCGCCCAGTCGTCGCAAACAAGCTATGCGCCTCACACATCATCGAATCACCCACCACCTTGCGCCTGCTCTCAACGAAGCCGACATTCTGCCCCCTCCCTCACGAGATCCTCGGGGGCTGCCGCGACGAGCTGAGCGCCCCGAGGCACGTCGTTGGTCCAGATGATCTGCCGGCCTTCTCGGGGGAGCGCGCTCAGAGGGAGACAAGCCGAGGACTCCAGCGGAGGAAACATCGGACCACAGACGGACGGAGCACAACTGCGTGAGGAACTCCGGGCCTCGGAAAAAACAGCGAACACTCATGCCACATTCATCTGTGAACGCCTCCCCCTCCCCTCAATGCTGAAAGTTGGCGGTGGGTCTGATTAGTTGCACCTCGACCGCAGTCTCCCCCGCGCGTGCCAACCTCGAGTTTGGGGGGCAGGGGGGGTGTTCACTAATTGTTTCCCTCTACCGTCCCTCTTGCGAAGGGGGGCAACAAAATGACTGCCGATACCGCTGCCCCTGGATCCCCAGACATCGCCTCTACCGGGCTCTGGCCAGGACTCCGAGGTGGATCCAGCCGTGGAACGGGGCCCCCCGCAGGAGACCCAAGCAGGAGAAAACGGATTGCCGGATGTCCTCCGGAAAGCAAAAACAGAACGAGGGAAGAAAGAAAGCCCAAAGCCCAACAAGGAACATCGGCATCGGTATTTGGCATGAGTGGCGAAACGAACAGGTACCGATACCGCTACTCTTCCGACCTCTACCGTGGTGCGTTCTGGCCCCGATTTGGAAGCGAATCCAGCGGTGGCGACCCCAAAAAGGGGAAAATGAGAGAAGGGCAGCAGTATCGGCGCCTTTTCCTCCTCTGAAGGAGGGAGGCTGCCAGGTCGTGGACCCCAGGAGGGTCCCCGGGAGCCGAGAGGATGCAGAGAACAGCTCTATGCAGGACCCCCACTCCTCCAAGACAGCTCGTCCTTCCGGCGGACCCGCAGCTGGCCATCGCTCGGACGTCCATTGCCCGTGCACTGTTGGGTTTCGCGCGTGCTTTCTTTGCCAGATCATCCAGGATGCTCCACGAGGGTCCTCGCCGAGAACAATGCACACGTCCGAGCGATAGCAAAGCAAGATCGCTCCCGACTTCATCAGGGACGCATGGGCGCCAAACTTCGCGCTCCGCGCTGCGCGAAGCGCGAAGGACTGCGCGCTCTCGCGCCGCCCCTAGGGGAGACGAGGAGGACGAGGAGGAATCGGAGCCGAACCCCGAAAAGCGCGAAGCGCGAATAGCTCCGCGACCTCGAGGGCGCCCTTGTGATGTGCGTCGGCCAAAGTTTCGAGAGAAGCGCGGCCGTGGCGACGGGTGGAGGGGGGGAGAGGGGAGGGGGAGGGGGAGAGGGAGGGGGAAGGGGAGGGGAGGGGGGACCGGGAAGGAGAGAAGGGGAGGAAGAGGGGAGGAAAGGGCAGGGGAGACGCAGGGGGCGGGGGGGAAGCACCAGGATCGCAAACCAGGCCCGATGGCCGGGACACGCGTCGGATCGGGACCTCGATCAGCACGGATAAGACGAAGCCAGGACGAGGATCAAATCGGGAAAGGATAAATCAGGAATCTGTGAGATCCAGCGGTTCTGGAGGATGTCTCGGGCGCCGCGGCCCTCTTAGAGCGTTGCGGAACGCTCTGAGAGCGTTCCGGAAAGCTCTGGAACGGATTATCCTCTTCCTGGCCCCGTCCGAACGGAGCCAGGATCGAATCGGATCGGCCGCGCCAGGATGCACAAGTACGCCATGCGAGCATTGGGCCGCACCGCATCGACGGAACATCCGACACGGATCGGATCGGGCGGACCGGAAACGATCTCGAATCGGACCGATCGGATCGAAATGGGCGCTGGAGAGGAGGACTGGAAAGGTTTGAGGTGAGGGGACGGGAACGGGGAGAGGGAGGGGCAAGCTAGGCGGGCTCGCGCCATGTCTGGCACCCCTCCCCTCTCAACCAGTCCTTCCCATTGCGCTGAATTACTATTTGCATCTGTCCACCAGGGTGTCCTGGAGGATACTTCAAACCCAAAATGACCCATAAATGATTCGTAACCAGAAGGGGGGCGTTGTACATGGGATGAAGATGAGGAGGAGAAGGAGGAGGAGGAGGAGGAGGAGGTGGCGGAGGAGCGGGAGAATGAGCAGGAGAAAATAAAGGAGAAAAGAGGAGCATGAGGATAAAGAGGACCATGGGAAGGCGGATGCGGCATGGCAACGACGAGGAAGAAAACGGACCAAGATTTGTTTTCTATCGAATGCAAAGCTGTGGCCCGCGCTGGGGCGAGAGTGCCAAGCGCCGACTCTGACATGTGGCCAACGCTACAGCAGGCGCGCCGTTTTGACATACCGAGAACGACCCGATCGAAACAGACATATAAACCACAAGTGAAGTTCTGCGTGTGGAAACCATACGCGGGAGAAGTGTCCCCTGCACTGGACAGAGTCAGGGAAGAAGGGAGAGCAGTACTGATTCTGAGTTTGATTGTCAAGGGGAGTTGAGGGCGGGGAGCAAAAGATGGAGGAGGGTGGTGGAAGCAGAGGAGGGAAAGATGAGGAAAGCATTGAACCCACCACACCACCCATGTACAATTCTCTAGAACATCGTTCTTGCCCCTACTCTTCCCCTCCTCCTCCTCCTCCTCCTCCTCCTCCTCCCCCTCCTCCCCCTCCTCCCCCTCCTCCTCCTCCCCTCCTCCTCCAATACCTACTGTCTCCACTAGTCATCACGGCAATATCCTCTTCCTCTCCTCCACTCTATCGTGTCTCCCCTGCTGTCTCACGCTTCCGTGCCTCTCCATGACCGACCCCATCCTCCCACTCCCTCACCGCCTCATCCGAAGCCGGTGCCCTGGTGACCGCTGGCCATTCGGGGATGGACAGGCCCCCCTTCAGTAAAGCGTGGTTTAGTGCAAGCGACCTCGGGCCCGAGCCTGGCGGGCGCAGGCCTGGAAAATGCCGGACGCCCGAGAACCGAACACGGACAGTTCACGAATCGACGTGTCAGGGTGGGGGTTCTGTCCACCCCCGAGCCATCTTCGCGCCTCGCGCCGCTGGACGTGCGGTCATCTCCGCGCGGTCGCGCCCCCCCCCCCCCCCCCGGGAGGCGTCTCGGGAAGAGCGCATCTCTGGCCAAAAAACCGCGAGGAGCGGAGCGAGCCGTCTCTCGGCGCCCCGCCCCCGCAGACGAGCTGTCTACCTCGCACCAAGCAAGCACGATCCAGAGACAGGTCGGGCGTGTCCACCTATAGGCGGATTTGGGAGGAAAAACCAAAAATAATCAAACACTGCTCCAAAAAACAGAAATGGCCGATATACCGTCCGCAGACTACTTTTGACTATTTTTGAATACTCCTCCTGTAGAGGGACACGCCCGACGTAAAATCCAGAGCCGCGAGGACCCCCCGAACGCACGACCGCCGCCGAAGACGTCCGTTCGGGAAGCCGAGCACGGTCAACTTGTGTCCTCATTCAAGACCACCTCTGATGAAGGGGCCCAAGGACACACAAAAAAATACACAAATCCTAGGATTCCCCATATTTTCAATTTTTGGGGGGATTGTCGTCTTCGCCTCCACTTCCAATATTTCCCACATCTTCTGGGGAATCGGCACTTAATTGTGTCTGTGTGGTTTTTCCCCCCTGATCTGAGCAAACACGTTCAGAGGACGCGAAGGGAAGGGGAAAGGGGGAGGCCCAGGCCACCTGAGGGGGAGGGTGGGGCTCACTTCGCTCGGGAGCGAGCGAAGTGAGCCCCACCCTCCCCCTCAGAAATCGCATCTGGCCCCCCAGTGGAGCTCCGAGGGGTCCGCCGGGGAGCGGTCGGGCGGAGCCGTCGGGCGGAGCAGCCCCCGGGCGCAGCGGCGGCCCTCGCCGGCCGCGCGCCCGGGGCCCCGGCAGGCTCTGCAGCGCTCTCCTCCGCGGCGCGGCGCCGCGGCGGAGCGGCAGAGCCTGCAGGCTGCGGGCCCTCCCGTCGGCGCACGCGCGGCTGCTGCTGCTGTAAGGAGCGGCCGCCCGGCAAGAGAGAGGGACGGAGAGGCAGAGTCTGAAGGGGCCCCAGGACACACAAAGAAATACACACAGGTAAAAAGATTCCCCGTAGTTTCCCATGTTTTCTGGGTTTTTATCTTCCCCCCCCCCCTTTCCCATATTTTCCCATATTTCCCTGGGAATCGACGATTACTTGTGTCTGTGTGTTTTTTCCCCTCCTGAGAGTCGGGGGCCCATCACAGGGAGGCCTCCCCAACGGGGTCCGAGCAGGAGGGGTCGGAAGACGTCCCGCGTCGCCCATGGCCGAGGCATCGGCGACGTCGGCGACGCATCGGCGCCGTCGGCGTGAAGATCATCGGGTGCCAAATCGAGCCGCATCGCCGATGCACCGGCGGTGCGGCGCGATCCGCCGACCCTACTCGGTGGATCAGAAGAGCGCGGGATGAGCGACGAAGGATAAAGGGTCTCAAGGACGACGATACGGCAACCATGCGCCGTGGTTCACGCAGGCCACCAGCGCGGCACCCTGCGTGGAGAGAAGGTTCCGTACGCGCCACCTTACGCGGGGAGCTTGCACGCGGCTGTCGGCGCTGTCGATTATGGTTGCTTGCGTCGCTCAAAGGAAAATGCAAGGCCCCTCTCCGAGATGTAACAAGTGGCCAGCGAAATTGACAGAGGATGAGCCAAGCAGGCAAGGATGCAATGCATCCCTTGCAAAGCACCTCATTCTTCCCAGGGCGGGGCCCGACTGGAGAGAGAGAGAGAGAGAGAACACCGTGCACCTCGAAGGTGAACTGACGCGAAGGTGAAACGTGCGACCCGCTGCGAGGCGGCACCGCTGCCCTAAAGATTCAGGACAGCGGCTGATCCTGAGAGCCGCCGCCCGCGATGCGACGAAAGCAAATTAGCCGTGCCACCCTCGTGGTTAAAACGCCATGCCGGGAGACCAGGCCCCACGACTAGAAGAAGAGAAACTGGCATAAACAGACACCTTTGGCCCGCCGCGCGGATTTCTTGGATCCGCGCCGGGCCCCCCTGGCGGGGAAATCCGCGCGGAGCGCACAAAATGTATCTTTGTGGCGTGGTTTCTTCTTCGATTCGAGCGACGCGCTGCGAGGCGGCACCGCTGGGCCGGGAGACCAGACCCCACAACGCACCAAGCACGCCGGCCAGCCCCGCCCTGTGAGGCCCCCGCCCGTCGGCGGAGGTGGCGCCGGCCAGGCGCTCTCAGCGATATATGGCACAGTCAGTGGCGAGTTGGGCCTCCGCCCCTCTGCGGCCGCCAGCAAAAGAAAGGCACTCCTGGGCAGGCGCTCCCTCGTCACAGTGCGCCCGGCCACACTCCTCCTCCTCCTCCTCCTCTCTCCCTTTCCCCCCTTTCCTCCTCCTCCTCGTGCCCCTTCCCCTCACCCTCATGATCCTCCTCTTTCTCCCTCCTCCCTCCGCCCTCCTCCGCCCAGCCACGCCGTGCCGAGGGCGCGCCTTCCAAGTCAGGGTCCCAGGCGGCTGGCAGGAACGCGTCCTGAACGAAACGAAAACTCGCTGGCCCAACGGGCCCAGTTGCGCGTGAGATCCTGCAGGACGAAGTTCTGGCTGTCCCTCGGGGGAGGGCGCTGGGGAAACCCAGTGGCCCCAGGGTGGCTCGAGGGCGCGTCTAAGATAGCTCAGCAGACTTCGAAGATGGCCGAAAAATGCAGAGGCCCTTTCGGGCCCAGGTGTGCCGTTGAGGCCCTAAGGATGGCCCAGCCACATGGCGGCCCAAAGGTCCCAACGACCCCCGAAAGGTTGCGCCCCAGAGTACGTAATCCCTGTAGGGTTCCTCAGGGCGTCGTCATCAAGGCGACAATCGGGCCCCAAAAAGCTATTCTTCGAGGTAGCCCCACAGGCCCTCCAACTGTGACAAGCGCCCCGAATGAGCAACACGTCGCATCTACAATTTACCCGTAATCCCCCAGAAATCCCCCCTTTGCCCGCACACCCGTGTCTCAGACGTATTTGCAGATGTCGTGGAGCATCCCCAAGGTTGCTGCACTGCAGGTGATTCGAACGACTGTACGGGAAGCATCTCCCAATCAATCAAAGCATCGGGGTTAATTTGACGTGGCATGTTCGCGCATTCACACGATTACTCCTGCACGGCTCTTGGGTTTCGCTTGTCAATAGCTCGCTGCGATTGTGACCCCGATATGTTCCCCAGCACGGGCTTCGCAGAACAACGGAGCACACAAGCTTCCGACGAAACGACATGCGCGAATCCGCCGGCCCCCTTGTGGGGCCACCAGGCTGTAGGACCAGGGTTTGCTGTTCCCTGCACCAGTTCCTGTTTCCAGTTTCCACTGTTCCAGTATTGTTTTATGCTACTTACTGTTCCTTGTTGTAGACCGCGCGAGACAGGGGGAGCCGAAAACCAGCAAATCTAGTGTCTCCTTGGAGGGTTCTCAGAATTTCTGGTAGAGTCGAAATTGACACCCCTCTCGCAGATCGGCGGGGTCAGGGTCCGAAAACCAATGGGAGTTGCCACATTCCTGAAATTCGGCGGCACCCTCACGCAGATCGGCGGGGTCAGGGTCCGAAAACCAATGGGATCAGCCCCATTCCTGAAATTCGGCGGCACCCCTCACGCAGATCGGCGGGGTCAGAATTTGCCACATGTCTAAAATTCGGCGGCACCCATCACGTAGATCGGCGGAGTCAGGGTCGAAAAACCAATGTGATTTGCCACATGTCTAAAATTCGGCGGCACCCCTCACACAGATCGGCGGGGTCAGGGTCGAAAAACCCATGGGAATTGCCACATTCCTGAAACTCGGCGGCACCCCTCACACAGATCGGCGGGGTCAGGGTCCAAACACCGATGGGATTCGCCACATTTCTGAAATTCGGCGGCACCCCGCACGCAGATCGGCGGAATCCGGGTCGACAAACCTATAAGATTTGCTACATTTTTGAAATTCGGCGGCACCCATGACGCAGATCGGCGGGGTCAGGGTCCAAAAACCCATGGGATTTGCCACATAATTCGGCGACATCCCTCACGCAGATCAGCAGGGTCAGGGTCGAAAAACCGTGGGGTTTTCCTCATGTCCGAAATTATGTGGGAAACCTCAGTGCACATCATACGGGGGCAGGTTCGAAATGCAACACTGAGTTCAACAATATCATCAAAATCTAAAGTTTCTCTTGCCGATGCTGCTTCACGGCGGCGCCGAGGCCTCATGATTTAGCTTTTGCATAGTCCATTATCCGAGAGAGGGGGCCGGCGGCAGGGGGCGAAGCCCTTACGGATAAGTACAGAGCCACCAGCGGTGACGGCGGAATGCGCGAAGTACTGTGATGACTATTTGGGGGTTGGGGCCGTAAGCTTCTACCCAACATTCCCACGGCAGGAATCCTAACGCCACTTATGCTGTGATGTTCTGGATTGTAGAGCCATGAGGTCCGAGGTGATTGAAAACAGGGCGCAATCGATATGTCAGAGAAGCTACGGCGCAGCTCAGAGATCCGACTCCGACTCCGCGCGAGACGGCGGCCGCGTGGAGAGCGAGGAGCAGCCGTCGCTGAGCTGGCAGGCCACCGGCGGCAGCGACTGCATCTGCGACTCGGGCAGGGCGGCCTTCTCCGCAGGCCCTGTGAGCTTCTCCCTCAAGAAGTTCGCGGCGTGCACGTTGAATTCGCGGGGCCGCACGCTGTTGTGGCCCTGGCCGCCACCCAGCTTCACAAGCTGGCGCTCCTCTGGAGGACCGAAAACGGAACCCCCGCCCTGGCGCGCGGAGCGCGCCAGGGGCGGCGCCAAAGGCGCCGCCAGGGAGGCCCATCGCAGATCCAAGGAATCCGCGAGGAGCGTCGAAAGTGTTTGTTTATGCCGTTGTTCGTTCTTCGATCCTCTCCGCCCCATGCGTCGTGGAGCGCGTACGTGTGGTGAGCCTGGACGAAAGCGTCGCCCTCCGCCACCACGAAGAGCGCAGGGACCGTGGCCTTCGGGGCCGCTTCGATGGGCCGCAGGCCCTCGATGTCCACGTCGGCCCTCGCCTTGATGTCGCTGCGGATGCGTTTGAGCATCAAGCCGACCTGAGCGACGAAAAGGAAGGAGGCGGAGGAGGCGGAGGATGAGGAGGAGGAGGCGGAGGAGGAGAAGGCGGAGGAGGAGGCGGAGGAGGAGGATGAGGAGGAAGAGGAGGCGGAGGAGGAGAGGGAGGAGAAGGCGGAGGAGGAGGAGGAGGCGGAGGCGGCGGAGGAGGAGGAGGAGGAGGAGGAGGAGGAGGAGGAGGAGGAGGAGTTGGCACAGCAACCTTACGCGGCGGCTTACGCGGGCCGCCAGCGCGGCACGTCGCATTGGAGACGAGGACGCCAACGCCCGACCCTGCGCGGGCAGCTTGCGCGCCGGCGTCGGCGAAGACGACCCCGCCTTCTGCGCCGCTCACCCGGAGGAGGGGGGGTAAACATCGGCCGGCCACACGGGCCAGAGGCGTGCTGGGACGTCGTGAGAGAGCTCTGGCAGGAGCCCCAGGGCAGCTCGGTTCGCGCGCGCGGGGCGGCCCCTGGGGGTCCCAGGACGAGGAGCACCCGTCGAGAAGGGGATCGACTACAGAATTGATGTGCCCCGAACCTGATTTGTTCGTCGAATCGACGGAAAATACGAGCATGTTCCGTAGATCCGCGAACATTCTACGCATTTGTTTCGCAAATTCGACGCGGAAATCAAGTTCTGGGATAAATCAATTCTGTAGTCGATCCCCTACTCGACCAGGAGCCTTGAGACCCTGGATCAGTTGTGTTTTCTTCTGGGCGTGGTCGTCGGAGCTTCCAAGTGGCGCCCCAGGAGACGCAAGGGGCTCCATGGAGCGGCCCAAGACGGTGCCGAGACCAGGAGGGGGGGCACATAAAACGAACGTCCAGTGGGAGCTCGACCACAAGAAACCTTCCACAAGAAACACAAACCTGAGACCCCAGGACCCACAAGAACCCAGAACATCACGCTCTCCATCGCAAAACAATCGAAAACCAAGAAACCCAGGGCACCCTGGAGGCAAGCAGGGTGTTTCTTGGCATGGGTTTCAACTGTACGTCGGACGTCCTCGAGCAGCAGACTTCCGCCAGCGCCGGACCTCAACGCCTGGCGCGCGCGAAGGCCCTCGACGCCGCCGAGGGTTCGCGAGGAGGGGGCTGGTACCACCTGAAGTCTGCCGTCCGCAGACGGACAAAGAGATGCTTGTGAGGTGCTCAACACCACCCCAAGCTGGAGAAGGGGGCGTCGATCGGAAGAGGGCCAGCTGAGACCACGGCAGTTCTCCCTCCTGGCCCAACTCCGCTCCGAAGCGGTCCCTGGAGCCCTCCCGGGGTCCATCTTGACCCGTTTGTTGAGCTGGATCCAGCCGTGGCGACGAGAAGCCTCCAGCAGGCCCAAGAAGGAAAAACGCCAGCGCTGGCCGCGGGTGTTTCGACTGGGCCTCCGATTCTCTCGCCCATCCTAACCTTCTGCTGCCTCCAAGTGGGCGACGATGAAAAACGGGTCTTACGCGAGATGGCGTAGCGACCTTGCGCGGCGGCGTACGCTGGCCGCCCGCGCGGCACGTCACAGTGGGCACGGGGGCGCTTATGCGCGAGCATATGCGGGCAGCTTACGCACCAATGTCGGCGCAGACGACCCCGTTGTCTTGCGTCGCTCAAACGGATCCTCGCTGTCCCCCTCCCTGCTGCCTCCCTGCTGCCTGGGCCTCCCCTGGAGGACCGCGCGGGCCCCTGCGCGGAGAGTCCGAGGCGAGCTCGGCCGTGGCGACGACGGGCCCACCAGATGCGCCTCTTCGTCCTCCTCCTCCTCCTCCTCCTCCTCCTCCTCCCCTCCTCCTCCTCCTCCCTCCTCCTCCTCCTCCTCCTTCCTGCTCCTGCTCCTCCTCCTCTCCTCCTCCTCCTCCTCCTCCTCTCCTCCTCCTCCTCCTCCTCCTCCTCCTCTTCCTCCTTCTCCTCCTCCTCCTCCTCCTCCTCCTCCTCCTCCCCTCCTCCTCTCCTCCTCTCCTCTCCTCCTCCTCCTCCTCCTCCTCCTCCTCCTCCTCCTCCTCCTCCTCCTCCTCATCCTCCTCCTCCTCCTCCTCCTGTCTCTCCCCTCCTCCTCCTCCTCCTCCTCCTCCTCCTCCTCCCCTCTCTCCTCCTGCTCCTCCTCCTCCTCCTGCTCCTCCTCAAGCCAGAAGCGATGACAAGCTCAAGCGTGTGTTTTCCGAAACGGAGGGGATCCTTCAGATCGGTATCGAGGTGAGGTGCTGCCAGACATAGGGATAGGAATATGCTTCAAATAGGTAATATTCCTCTTCTGTTTCGACACATCAGATCGGACAGGGGGGGCAGAAAGGGTTAGCGAATCCGGTCACGCAGCTAGCTGGTTTTCCCAGCGCCAGAGGCGCCAACGTACAGTCGGACCTAGGCCAGAATATAATCCCTCAAGAACATGAGACCCACCGTCGGCCAAAACAAACAGAACATCTACGTAAGGTTACCCTCCCCAGGATGCACAAGAACATCCAACAAACACGAAGAACACTAGGATACCCTCCCCGAACCGACCTCGATCTTACACCTCGGTCCCACTGTGTGCTTGAGCGCGCCCAACGGAGGGGCCCAAACGAGCCGCACGCAGCCGATTTCGTAACCCGATGCCGATGTCTCTTCACTTCTCCTGTGCTGCCCAAGGTGCCCCCCCGTGGAAGCGCGCGCCCCGAGAACAGAGATCTCGAGGCGGATCCAGCGGCGGCGACGAGGGCCTCCGATCGGGAGGCCCAGGAGGGCGGCGAAGGAAACGCTACAGAATGCCCCGCGCCCCGCCGACGACCATCACCTCGGGCAGCTTCGAAGGGAGGATTTCTTTCGACGACAACGCCTCCCTGCCAGCAAGGCCCGGCTGACAGTGGAGAGTGGAGAGGGCAGGAACCCGAGGTTCCTCTCCCTCTCGGGAGGAGGGAAGAAGGAAGGCAGGCGGAGGAGGAGAGGGAGGAGGGAAAAGAGGAGACGGGGGGGGGGGGATGAAAGAGAAGCAGGAGGGAGGCAGGGGAAGGAGCGAGGGAAGGCGGCTGGAGGAGCAGGATGATGGACCATCGTCTCGGGCAGCTTCAGCCTCATGCCCCGCGCCAGCTCCCGCGCCACCTCCGGCAGGCTGCAGAAGGGTGAGTCCAGGACGCAGGCCGCCAGCCCGGTGTCCTCGGCGTGAGCCCCGCGGAAACCAACGCAACGGCGCACGGAGCGAACTGGTGGGCGAGCGAGCGACGACGACGCCGATGCCAACGCCGACGCCGACGGTGTCAGCGCCGAGGCCGCCCCGTCGACGACGACGACGACGACGACGACGACGACGACGACGACGCTCGATGACGACGAAGGCGACGCTGACGACGACGGACGACGGCGACGACTCGGCTACGGACAAAGGCGACCCTGTGCAATGGTGACCTTCGGTGCGTGGCCTTCTGCCCGCGGGTGCGCCAACTCCAAGCGCGCAAGCCAGCGCTGGGGGGAGGGACTGCGGGCCCGCACCACAGGCCACTCCGGCGAAGGGTCCCTCCGTGTGGCATGGCCGAACGACGACACCGCCGCTGCCGATGACGCCGCCGGCGTCGGCGCCGCCGGCGGATCCTCGGCGGCCCGCAGCACGGCCGTGGCGGCGCCCATCGACCTGCCCCACAGCGCGATGGGACCGACATTCCCAGACCTCCTGAGGTAGTCCAGGACCACCTCGCTGCGCTCCTCCTCCTCCTCCTCCTCCTCCTCCTCCTCCTCCTCCTCCTACTCCTACTCCTACTCCTACTCCTACTCCAAATCCTCCGCCTCCTCCTCCTACTCCTCCTCCTCCTCCTCCTCCTCCGCCTCCTCCTCTACCTCCTCCTCCGCCTCCTCCTCCGCCTCCGCCTCCGTCTCCGCCTCCGCCTCCTCCTCCTCCGCCTCCTCCTCGCCCCCTTCCTACTACTGCCTGCGCAGACTGGCGGCGCTCGCCCTTTTCGTGTTGTGAGCTGCGTAGGTTGGCGGCGCACACGGAGGATTGGACCGACGGGGGCGGCCTTCTGAAAAGACGAGGGGCGTCTCGGATAAGGTCGAGGGCTTCCGGACTGCTTCTTAGGAAGCAAGCCATCAGCAGCATCACCACCATCATCGCCCGTGCCACCTCCATCAACATCGAAACCGGCATCACCATGGCTAAGGTCATAAGCAGTACTGCGGTGGAAGTAAAAATAATCCCACCAGCACTCAGATGTTCCTCTTACTGGCCCATCTTTGAAAAATAGCTGGGTCACGCCTGACCCGTACGCGACCCACCACGCGACCCGCCACCTCATTCTTATCCAAAAACCTCGGGTTTGGCCGTCTCGGAATGCACATTTGCGAGGATGTCTCTGGATTGTTGCCTATTCGTGGGCCTTGCGGGCACCCCTTGCGATTGGGGGTTTGCCGAGGTCTCGCCTCGAGCCCTGTTGGTGCCTTGTCGTGGGCGCCTCGTGGGCGCACCCTGCGCTGGGTGGGCTTGCCGGGGTTTTGCCAGGTACGCGGCTGGTGCCGGGTCGCGGGCGCCACGTTCGTGGGCGCCCCGTGCCCTGGGTGGGTAACATAGCATACGCACCATGGTCCACACCGCACAGCGTACACCGCATAATCTACACAATATAGCTCAACCCACATAGCTCGCAACACCTAATAGCTCATACCACGAAGACTACACACTATAGCTTGCACCACATACCTCACACCACATATCTTGCACTCATCAATTACTCCGCCTAGCTTCCACCTTCACAATGCAATAACTAATTGTTTGGGCACAAAGACATGAATATATATATATATATATATATATGTGCATATGAATATGGAACAAGGCAAATCAACATCCGTCAATACAAGGTGTGGTGTGGTCAAGCCCCACACCCCAGTCAAGTACCATCCAGCGGTCGAACAAGTTCCGAAACATCGCCAGGCCGACATGCAGTTGCCACGGAGGCTGTGCGTCCTCGCATGCATCATCAGCGTCATCGTCATCACCATCGTCACTATCAGCAGCAGCATCATCACCACCGCAAGTATCACCAATCTCCACCACTACTACCATCGTAATCGTCATCGTCATCGTCATCATGATCACCATCATCATCGTCGTCGTGATCATCATCAATATCACCACCATGACCACCATCATCCTTATCATAACCACGATCACCATCCATCACACATCATCAGTATCATCCATCACCGTCATCCTTATCCATCACACACCATTCGACCATCATCAGCAGTAGCATCCCCATTATCATCACCATCATAACCATCACCAGAATCATCATCGTCCTCCCTACCATCTCTCCGGGGACACCTTCAGGTCCTGCTCCTCGTTGTGCCCCAGGGTCACGAACTCGCCCTCCGAGCGCCCAGAGCCGGCAAAGTCGAAGCCGAACACGGAGAGGCCCAGCGGCAGGAGCTCGCCAAGCACGTCGAGGGCCTCCGGGCACGAGGAGGGAGGCGCCGCGCAAAGTGCTGGAGGCGGCCTCCAAATCGGATGCCGCTGGGCCGCCGCGGCAAGGAAAGAATCCCCGCCTGGTGCGCAGCTCTCGTGGCCCTTCCAGGGTGTTTCGAAAACGTTCTCGGAGCGCGATTACGAGGAGACTCTGGCGGATTCCAGCGTCTTCTGAAGGGCCCAGGGAGGAGGAGGAGGAGGAGGAGGAGGAGGAGGAGGAGGAGGAGGAGGAGGAGAGGAGAAGGAGGAAGGAGGAGGAGGAGAAAGACGACGAAGGAGGAGGAGGAGGAGGAGAGGAGGAGGAGGAGAGGAGGAGGAGAGGAGGGGGAGGGGGAGGAGGGGAGGGGGAGAGGGGGGAGGACCAGGCATCAATTCTGCGCCCGCTCACGGGCGCTTCGAGGGCCTCCACGCGCGAGGAGCAGTTGCCGTGCAGGTAGACCACGCACGGCACCGGCCCCGCGGGCGGGGCGCCCGCGCACGCGGGCAGGGCCCGGAAGTGGCTGCACTCGAGCCTCTCTCCGCGCAGGCTCCGCAGCCGGGCCCGTGCCCCGTGGGCCGCGCCCAGGGGCGTAGGGGAGGGGGAGGGAAAGGGGTCCGAAGGGGGCCTCGGCTCCCTCCGAGGCCGTGTCGGGCTCCTCTGCCCCTGCTCACGGTGAGCGCGAGGGGGGGTGGGGCGTGAGGGGGTCGCGGAATCGGGGACCAGAGCCCCGATCGCCAAGATCTGGGAGGTTTTCCGTACAACTGTGGCTCCCTTCGCGAGGGAACGCGGGAAGGTGGGGCAGAGCCACGGGTGGGCTTGGAGGCCCCTGGAGGATGGAGATATCAGCCTCAAGCCTGGCTCGCGAGCCCACACCCACCTTGGGCCAAAACCCCCCGCCCTCGCCGTACCTTCGACGTCGACTACTCTTCGGGCGTCCAGCGGGGACCTCCACCTCGTGGCGGCGCACACACAGGGATAGGGGGATGGGGGGAAGGCTTCTTAGGCGGCTGCTTTTCAGAAGGCGCCAGCCTCACGTCTGCAGGCGAGGTCCGCGCCTCCCCAGAAGCAGGGGTGCTTCTCAGAAGCCGTCCCCCCCTCCCCCATTGTCCCCCTCTGCGCCTGGCCGGCTCTCGCCAGGCGCCGACTCGCCTCTTCTCCGCCCCCGGAGGCGGCCCCGGAGGTGAGCAAGAGGCCCCACAGCACCACCGCCTGCTCGATCTATCCTGAAGCCCCCGCGGGCCAAGGCCTCCTCTGGCAGCACACGGCACATGCCCGCCGATCACCCTCACTTTGTCCCCAGCCCAAAATGGGGTCCTGAGAGACGCGGGGCCGAGAAACCCCACTCCCTCTACTGCGTCGCCAAAACATGTCCATATCCACTCTCGCGGGGTCGTCCTCCAGGGACCCGGGGAGCGATGGTCATGCATGTCTGTCCGCCCATACGGGCGAGCAAATATCAATGTCCGCCATTCCTCGAGATCCCAGAGCGCGACAATGGAGCAGTGAATACTTACGCAGCACGAAAGATTTCCTTTTGAGGTGCAAATGGCGATGACGAGTTGGAAATTAATGACCGAACCCCCTTCCCCCGTAGAATCTTAACACGGGCGGGTTCCGGGGTCCGCGGATCCGATTTCTTCCGGTTCCCCGATTTAATTTAAAAATATTCGCCGACCCAGCGGGCCAGAGGCGTGCTAAAATCTCCTGTAACTGCTTTACAATAATTCTACATAGCGCACGCGGGGCGGCCCCTGGGAAGAGAAGTACCCTGGGCGAAGCCCGGCCGCTGCGGATCAGAGATGGTTTTCCTCCTGGACGCCGCCCTCGAGGCCGTCCAGAAAGCCCTAAGGAAGGCCAAGAGGCCGCCAAGAGCCCCTCAAGATGATACAAGAGAGCTTCGAGGTGCCACAAGATCGCTCCAAGACGCACATGATACTCCCCAGACGGCCCAACACGCCTCCCAGAGCATTCTCAAGAGGGCCCCACGAGGCAAAATTCGTTGCTTTCCCCTAGGTTTTGGAGAGATTTGGGCGTTTCCACCTTTTCGGCTTCCCCACACCCCAAGACGGCCCAAGAGGCCCCCGCACCAAGAGGGCCCAACTCCCAAGAGGGCTCCAAGACGGCCCAAGAGGGCCCCAAAACGGCCCAAGAGGCCTCCAAGACGGCTCAAGAAGGCACCAAGAGAGGCCCCAGGGGGGGAACACGAATCAACATTTCGAGCTCCCGGCCCTAAGCAGGCCCCAGGAGTCCCCAAGAGGCCCCTGAGAGACCCCAAGACGCCCCCAGCAGGCCCTCAGGAGGCCCCAAGACCAAGAGGCCCCTAATTAAGCGGAAAATCATTGCTTTTCCTTAGGTGTTGGAAAGATTTGGGCGTTTCCACCTTTTCGGCTTCCCCACACCCCAAGACGGCCCAAGAGGCCCCCAAGACCGCCCCAAGAGGGCACAAGAGGCCCCCAAGAGGGCCCCAAGACGGCCCAAGAGGGCTCCAAGACGGCCCAAGAGGCCTCCAAGACGGTCCATAAAGGCCCCAAGAACTCCCCAAGAGAGGTCCCAGGGAGGGAACACGAAATAACATTTCGAGCCCTCGGCCCTAAGAAGCCCCCAGGAATCCCCAAGAGGCCCCTAAGAGGCCCCCAACAGGCCCTCAGGAGGCCTCCAAGAGGCCCCCAAGCGGTCCCAGGATGCCCCCCAAATGCCCCCCCCGAGCACGCAAGCAAGTGCCAACGGCCCGACGCGTTTAAGAGTCCCCACGAGGCCACCAAGAGGCCTCCTGAAAGAGTCCCCGTAGGCAAAACGCTTCCAGATGGCCCGCGACGCGTTCAAGACTCCCCCAGTGGCCACCAAAAAGCCTCACATGCCGAACGCAAAGCCTGATAAAAATAGCAGCCGTCCCTGCAGCTCCGCACCGCGAAAAACCACTCGGTCAGTCGACAACGGCACGCAATTATGGGCCGGCGGAATGAGCGAAGCGATTCAATAAATTTTAACGGGGTAAAGATCGGATCCACCGTAAAAAATAAGGCCGAAAACGGATCCAGCAAATCCGAAATCTGATCCGCGCGGACAGAACTCGGATCCACCGAAGCAGACGCCAAAATCACAATTGGATCCGCGCGAACTTCACGGGATCCGACGGCGAATATCTCATGCGCGTCTGCTCGAGGCTTCAAACCCTCGTTCCGGACCCAAGAGGAAAAAACTTTCGTACTGGGGATGTTTGGACAGATTTTGGCAGTGGATCTACGTGCCCTCGACGTTGGTAACCATTCGGGCGTCCAGGGGGAACCTCCACCTCCGCCTTGCCGTCGCTCGGACGCCCAGTTCCTGTGCACTGTCCGGTTTCGTGCGTGTTTTTCACGCTCGAGGATCCAGGATGCTGGGCTCCTCGATGGGCCTCGCTGGGAACAAATGTGCACACGCCCGAGCGATGCCAAGCCGCGCAGAGCCGCGGGGAGCCTCCCGGAGACCTCCCGGGGCCGAAGAGCCGGGGGCGCCCTCCAGAGGCCGAGAGCGCCACCGGGATGGTGCTGCGGCGAGCGAGGGGGGGGGGGAAGCGAGAGGGAGAAGGCGTTCTCAGAGGGCGGCGGAACCGTTCAGAAGCCCTCGCGCCCGCGCAGAAGTTCTCGGCGTCTGCCGGGGGGGGGCTCAGACAGCTTCTCAGACGCCCGGGGGGCTTCCGAGCCTCCTGAGAAGGCCCGCCCCTTCTCACTTCCCCCCGCGCTCGCCGCCGAATGGTACCAGGTGGGGCGGCATTGGATGCTGCTTCTCTTCGAGTAGGAGATCGACTACAGAGTTGATGCACCCCCAAAAAGATATGTTCATCGGACCTACGACAGAAATACGTAGAGTGTTCCGTAAATCGACGAACATCCTGCGCATTGTTCGCAGTAGACTGTGCCGTAGATCTACGAACATCCTTCGTCTTCTTCGTAGACTCGACGAGCAAAAAAATGCTGGGGCAAATCAATTACGTAGCCGATCCCCTACTCGACTTATGTGCCCCTGGAGGGTATGCTCTGTTGCTTTCCTGATCCACCAGGGCAAGACTCGAATCAGGAAACCGGGTCGAATCGGAAGGTGCGTCGGATCGATCGGTCCCGCGGCGCCAAAACGCACAGACAGAGCCCCACGCGAGCATCGGGCCGCATGGGCTATCGGGCTGGCTGGGGGCGACACCGATCGGAGCGAGATGAGCCCTGCCAGGGTGGCCCACGGGGCACGGAGCTGGATGTCCTCGCGCCAGTACCTGCCCTCTGCGTCCGGCACCCTGAAGGCTTTGGGCCCGAGCTCCTCGTCGGTGTACTCGGCCCTCTGCGGCCGGAGGATCATCCTCCAGAAGACGCCGAACGGGTCGAGGCGGCGCCTGGGCGCCGTCCTGGGGAATGGCGGCGGGAGCCCACCAGCAAGACACGGTCGTCGTGCCACAAGGAAGACCGCTAGAGAAGGGACGCAGGGCCTTTTCTGGCCACGGCGAGCCTCGGCCACGACGAGGCTCCCCGGCCTCGATCGACGGAGCGGCCCGGAGACGACGGCCCCTCCCGAGCCCCAAATGGGCCTTATCTCGGCGTCTCGGCTGCACTACCGCTGGACTTCCGCGGACGGCGCCCGCCGGCGCGGGACGCCTCCCCACGCCCCTCACGGCGCAGGCACCGCGCCAAGCTGGGCGGTGCCAGAGGCGCCACCCAGGGCTGTGAGGAGAGGCCCGTTGCTGGCGGGGACGTGCTCTCCGCGGACGTCCCAGGGTGCATGCCGGCTCCGATGCAGCCAAGCAGCCTACGAAACCCCCAGGGTGGGAGGAGGAGGAGGAGGAGGAGGAGGAGGAGGAGAATTTTCTTACCACCGCAATTACTGTCGAGCTGATGGCTTCACCAGTTGAAGCTTCTGACCTTGGAGGACGAAGGAGGAGGAGAAGGAGGAGAAGGGGGAGGGGGAAAGGAAGGAGGAGCATGCATGTGCACGAGCCGAATCGGCCCCGCCGCATCGCGGCCAACGGGGAGAGAGATGAACCCCCCCCCGCCCAGTGGCGACACAAGCCAGGGACCCCCAAGCCGTGCCTAACACCCAGGGGCCGCGGTGGGCAGGGCGGGCACAAGGGAGGACGAGGCGCGAGGAGGAGAAGGAGGAGGAGGAGGACGCTCCATTTTTCCTCAGGCCAGGCTATTCTCGCTGCAGCTGCGGCCGGGCTTGTCTGGCAGCAGCAGAGAGACAAAAGAAAAGGACCAGCTGGGCCACCTTGCCTCCAGCAACTGCCACGCTTGCGGTAGTGCGAGAGCACTCTGAGAGAGGCGCGAAGTGGAGTGGTTGGGCTCGAAAACCGCTTGAGCACAGACAGTTGCGGCCAGCACGGAGACATTCAGCATTGCACACTGTTACACGTTGCTACATGCTCCATTTTTCCTCAGGCCAGGCTATTCTCGCCGCAGCTGCGGCCGGGCTTGTCTGGCAGCAGCAGAGAGACAAAAGAAAAGGACCAGCTGGGCCACCTTGCCGATATCCGCCAATATCTAGCGACCTGGCGGTTGAGGCGGCCCTTTTCAGCCGAAATTCCCAACAGTGCGAGCACACCGCGGAGACACCAAGCAGCGAAGCGCAGCTATCATCACGCCGCGCCACCAAGCGAGGGGTCCACATCAGCGTCTCGAGGCGTCGACACAAGACGCCCACAAGGAAACTAAGCGAGGAGGGTAGGGCTCTGCGACCAACGTCCAGAGCTTGCCTCCTGGCGCCTTGCCCTCTAAAACCTGATGCCGATCACCAGAATATTTGCAGCGAGGACCATTGCATTCTGCGCGCAGGGGCTCCAGCGCACATGGGATACCAGAATTCCAGCAGGCAATAGTAGTGCCTTTTCGCCACGGGGTTCCGAATCTGCAAGTATACAATATTAACCAGGCAAGCTTTGCGCAACAGAGGGGCCAGACCTGGCTGCTGCCACAGCCAGGACGACCTGGGGTTCTCCAAAGACACAGGCACGTTAAACTTGACGCAGCATCGAATGATACGGATTGAAGCCTGGGCTAGACGATTCCCGATTGACACCTTGGTCGCATCTACGCCAGAAAGCTCAGGAAGGCCTTCAGGATACATTTTGGACCTGAGGGGACCCCCGGGACTGCCAAGCTTGCCACGACGTGCTGTAGAAAAACTGCTGCATGGCGTGCCGAGATGCACCCAGCCTGCGCTGGGAATACATCTCAACACGCGCCTAATTACTGCTTCTTTAGAGAAGTCTTGCTTAGGTGAGTCCCGGATGTCCCAAGTGGCCGATTGCCAGCCCTTGCGAGACATGGCCAGGGAAAGGCCGCGCTTGCCCGAAAACAACTCCAAAAACAAGGGCCTCACGCGAGACCCGCGTCTTGGCGCCTGCTCTCGAACCTGCCGACGTGCCCGAACCTATGCCCTGCCTCGAGGTTGTTGGCCGACTCGGCCAACAGCAGCTGGCAGTCCCGCGGGAGTGTCGCCAGGCGCCGCATCACCCGCGAGCTTTTCTCGCACCTCCGTACACTCATGTCGGAGATCCACCTCCCGCGCCGCTTGATGCCGCCCAAGGACCGCGCCTTGGTCAGCCAGTCGTGTGACGGGCCTGCATGTCTGAGGATGCACGGCGTGAGCTCCCAAGCCTCCAGGCCGACGTCGGCCGCGGCACGCTTGAACATGGCAGTGAAAGCCGCGGCCGGCCACGGAAAGAGGAGCTCCGCCGAGAAGCCCTTCTGCTTCGCCAGCCGCTCCACCAGCGCGCCCAGGTAGGGCCTCGACACGCTGTCCGGAAGGATCGAGTCGTTGAAGCCTCTCGTCTTGGTCGGCTGCAGCTCCTCCTCTGGCCTCAGCACCGGCGACGCGAAGCGGTAATCGCCCCCGGCCGCCGACTGGGCTGGGACCACATGATTGGCCCGGACCGACAGCAGCTCGCCTGGCCGAAGGTAGGCGTCTGCCGCCAGCACCACCGCCAGAGCCGCCAGCGGCTGCTTGCGCCTGACCAGTGCCAGCGAGATGGCCGCCACGGCGGCCCACGGCACGGGCGCCCGCGTCACTGGCGGCACCAGACGTCGCCAGCCCTGCAGCGCCTTCGCCACCCTCGGCAGCTTCAGCATCCGCCCGGCATGATGGAGCCTTGGCCAGCGATGGCCCACTGCCGCCAGCAGCTTGGCCCCGCTGTTGCAGGGCCCCCCCTGCGCGAACAGGAGGTCCATGTACTCCACCAGGGCCTCCTCGAGCAGCAGGTCGGTGTCGAGCGCCAGGTCGTTGATGCTGCAGAAGCCGAAGAACCGCTCCAGCCTCCGCTCGTAGTCCTCCTTGGTCTTCGCCGTTATGCTCTCCTGCTCCAGGACGGTCGGCCCACCAGTACCAGCTATCCTCGCGCGAGCCCGGTCCCTCGCCCCAGCCGCCGGAGGCGGAAGGAGGCCTCTCGACCTCGCAGGGGATCGGCGAGACCTCGTCGATGAGCCGCGCAGCCGCCCTGTCGAGGTAACCTGGGCCGCCGCCACTCTGCCATGGCCCGACGACAGCGTTGGGCACCGGGCCGCTCCGCCGCTGCAGCTGTCTCTCGGGAGCCGGCCCGCCGACGGCGGGGGGATGCCAGGCGCGCCTGCACCAACCAGCGCGGGAGGCGCTGCTACACGCCTCAGGCACCTCTCCGTGAGCCTCACGCCGGTGGGCTCCCAACGCAGCTGCAGCCGCCTTCTCAGCAGGCGTGTCGAACCATCGGCTGGGCTCATCGCTGGGGTTCAGCTCGCTCGCAATCCATCTCACACAGGCGCGAGAGAAGGTGGCCAGAGAAAGCGCGGCCCACTTTCGGAGCAGAAAGAGTACGGGTACAGATACAGCTCGCCCCTTCTCCAGACTTAGAACCATGCCCATGTTGTCACACAGAAATAGATGATGCTTATGATGATGTTTAGCTTGTCTGCATTTGCGCCTCCACCCAAATAACACCGCCCCCAACTCCTTCAGGTGGATTGCCTCCTTCCTGTGATCCCTCCTCGCTTGTATAGTCCTCCAATTAACCTCCTCCTTGGTGAACGATGCTGGTAGCTCAGGGAAATGATGATTGATGCTAATGGCAATGTCGTCGTCGTAGTGATCTCCATTCTCAGCGAAAGCCTCGAATCCATCGAGCGGCAGAGAGCCGCCCAACGCCCGATCCCGAGGACGGCCGGCCCCCTCGACCTTGAAGCGCCAGCGTTCACTCCAGCGCCCCACTTGCCTGACCTCGGACACCGGGAAGTCAGCCTCCTGCACGGCGTAGCCCCTCAGCGTAGCGTCCGAGCAGGTGACCAACCCCGACCACGGCATATCGAATTGCACCGCGAGCAGCGGCATGGTGTGCATGGCGTTCTGCAGCTCCTGCCTCACTGAAGACCAGAGCAAGCTAGGCGCCCGGTAGTGCCTCCGAGCGAAGTCGTAGGCGGCGCGGAAGATGCAAAGCGCTGGGCGGTTCAGCAACATGGCATGCGTGAAGTGGCCGATCAGCTTCTCGACCTCCCTGCCGGCCACCAGCCGCCGCCTCAAGAGCGCGCGCGTGCCCTGCACCAGCCGCCACCGCTTGGAAGAGGCCAGGCGGCGCCGAAGCTTGATGCCGTCCAGCTCCAGGCCCAGCGCTTCGACGACATGCTTGCCCTCCTCCACCTCGTGCAGCGGCAGCCCGATGCTGGACATCTCCTTGGCCGCCTGCCGCCTGGCGTCGGCAGAGGCACCGGGACGAGACGAGACGAAGACCTCGTTGTCCACGTAGACGATGCGGGGAACATGCGCTGCCGAGGTCGCGGGGGGCACCTGGCGGCCCACCAGCTCGCTCTCGACGCCCCCGAGCCCTGCTCGCCGCAGCAGCTCTCGATGAGCCTGCTGCGTCCATCTCATGGCCCACGAGAAGCCCATGGGCAGCACCCGCAGACAGGGGTAGACCCAGGCGCCTGCAAGAACCGGCTCGCCCTGCACGGTCTTGGCCCCCACCTCGCCGGCCCTGACGGGCCTCATCCCGAACCGCGGCACCATGTAGTCCGGCACCTTGAACTGGTAGAAGCAGTCGGCGATGCCCTGAATCGAGAACTCTAGCCTATCCCCAGGCTCCGCCTCCAGCCCGACCATTGCCGCGGTCGACGCCAGCTGGATTGAAGTGGGCCGCCTGAGGTTCTGATTGACGGACCTGGCGTCCACTTTCAGGCGCAACTTGCCTGACTTCTTGCGCACGAAGAATATCCCAACCTCAAAATCACGGCGAGTACGGAGCTCCACCATGCCCCTGTTCAGCAGGTCCTGCACGAACCTGACGTACTCGCCTCTGTCCGCCTTGAGCGTCTTGTCCCAGTCGACCTTGCAGGTCGCTGGCGGCTCCTCCTCAGCCCGAAGCAGAAGCGCACGGGGACCGTCGGTCACCTCCTGGCGGTCAGGGTCTGGCAACACGTCCAGCAAGTCAACCGAGCCTGCGGTGTCCGGCCACGAGACCAAGCCGCGATCATACGGTGCAACAACGGAGAGGTCCTCAGACGCGTAGTCGAGGGCCTCGGTACCGAGCAACTCCGGAAGGGCTGCCTCGGGGGCGGGCAACGGGCCCGGCGGCCTGTCGTCAGCGACCGCGCGCAGGACGCCGTCAAGCGCCGAAAACTGCGCCTGCGAGGGTCTTCCTCCAGGCAAAAACAAGCCGTCCCCATGCAGGTTTTTGAGGGCGGCGATGCAGTCGTTCGAGCGTCGGCCGATGGCCGCCTTCCTGCCCAGGCGCTGAGCAGCACGGCGAGGACCTCGGCGCTGTTCAGGAGAGCTGTAGGTCACCTCGGGCAAGGGGAACAAATGCCGCGGCACCACCCTCTCCATAGTACGGCCTGAATCTGCGACCCGGGACGGCCAGCCCCCGGATCTTGGGTCCATCATGACTTCTTAGGAGCGCGCGCAAGCGCACGCTCCTCGGCAGCCTTCCTCTCCTCCTTCAAGATGGACGAATCACGGGCCGCCGACTCGGCCACCCACTTCTGAAGCTCCGGGGCCATCAGCGCGCCGCCCGTGCGCCGCGTCCTTCCCAAGTAGTAGTCCTGCAGGTCGAAGTCCTTCCCGGCCCCCCGCTTCTTCTTGATGCGCTGCTCGATGTACTGGATGTGGCGGCACAGGCTCTCCATGCTCGCCAAGTTTGACACGTCGAGCTGGTCGAACGTCGTCGCCAGCTCGAGGATCTCTGAGAGCATCTCGTGCGTCACCGCATTGTGCTCGTCATCCTGCAGCTTGTTCTCGTGCTTCCAGGTCGAGTGGCGCTGGAGGGGACCCGCCGCCTGCTTAGCTATCTCCTTCACCAGGTACAAGGCCGTACTCGGCCCCTCCAGCACCCAGTCGTCGAAGGCACACATCTCCGAGCTGTTCGCCACACTCTTCATGTCCCTGAAGCGCCGTCCCGCGCTGTAGCGCAGCACAGGCAATGTGCGGGCGTCCTCGGAACTGGATACTCCTGGTGCTCGCACCGGGGGAGTGTCCGTGCCCTCCACGTCGCTGTCCTTCTTCGTCAGGCGCCTGAAGTGCTCGATCACCTCACTCTCCTGCTCCCCTACCTCCACGCGGTACAGCACCGCGGGATCACCTCGCAGGCCCATGTCATACAGACAGGCCCACCGAGCCGTTGCTGACGAAGCTGTCCGACGGGGTGTGGTGCTGCGCCGCAAGCATGAAGGTGTTGCCAACACCCACCTGTTGCGACCGCGCAACGCACACCCACTTGAAGAGCTCCGAGCTTGACCCAGCAGGAGGCGATCCCGCCAGGGGAGGCAGAGGGGGAGCCCCGCTCGCGCCGGCTCCCGCTGACGCTGGTGGCGGCTCCGGCTCGTCCTCCAGAATGCCCATCATGCGCCTCTCCTCAGCCGCCTTGGCGCGGCCCTCCTCGAACAAGTCCTGCAGCTCCTGCCCGACGGGCTTCGCCGAGAAGCGGTACACGGCGCGCCGCGCCCAGCTCTGGGGGAAGCCCCCCTCGGGGTCCCCCCTCTCTGAAGTCCTGGAGGTACTCCAGGCTGATGGTCTCCGCGTAGATGTCCCCATCTGGGGTCATGATGATGCAACAGCAGTGGTCCACGACCGCGAGGATCAGGCGCTCATGCTGGGGTTCCTCGTCCACCCCGTAGTTGACGAAGACCACGTCCCCGGGCTTCAGCCCCACCAATGACCTTCGCTTTCTCGGAACCGCCCGCATCTTGTCGATCGACCTGCGGCTGCACTCCCACAGGCGCCTGCACCAAGGGGGCAAGTACCTCCTGAGGGCCCGGTTGTCTGAGCACGGAGGCGCCCGCCAGCACCAGCCGGCACGTCACGTAGCAAGAGCAGCACACTGCCTGCGCCGCCAGCACCAGCAGCGCGCCCAGCACGAAGGCCAGGCCAGCTGCCGTCACGGACAGCCCAAGAGGTACAGGAGCTCCCCAGATGTCCTGGGCACCCAGGCAGGCGTGGGCGGCACTCGAGAGCCCCAGAGCGCAGGGGCTGACACCGAACGCCTCCTTCACGCTACTTATGAAGCTGGGCGCAGGGGCCGGGGACTTGTCGGCAGAAAAGGCCCAGCCGAAATCTCCCATCCGCCGCCTCGAAAACCGCTTGAGCACAGACAGTTGCGGCCAGCACGGAGACATTCAGCATTGCACACTGTTACACGTTGCTACAGGAGGAGGAGGAGGAGGAGGAGGAGCAGGAGGAGGAGGAGGAGGAGGAGGAGAACTCGCGGGGCCTGTCAGAAAGTGGGGGGGAACGTGTCAGACCGGTACAGCATCACGTATTTGGTTTCCAGGGGTGCACTTCACCAGCATCGCAGCGACGAGCGAGACGCAGAAGCGGCGATCCCAAGACTCCGCGCTGGCTGTGCCGCGCGCTGTTCTTCCTGCAAGCCTCAGTGCACGAGGCCGGCAGCCGCCTGGACTTCTCGCGCATGGCATCGGACTCCTCCTCCTCCTCCTCCTCCTCCTCCTCCTCCTCCCCCTCCTCCTCCTCCTCCTCCTCCTCCTCCGCCTCCTCCTCCTCCTGCCGCGTGGAGCGCGGTCGGTCCCCGTGAGCCTGCAGGTCAGACGATGCGCGCGCTGCAGCACCGAGACCGGGGCCACCAGCACCACCAACATGGCCGCCCGCAGCTCTGGCGGGAGGCGGCTCAGGCTGCGCTTGCAGTGCATCCTGCAGCCTGACCACAGTGGCCGACATGGCCTCCAGTTCCTGCACCAGGCCAGAGCCCAGGCCCAAGCCGCTCGCAACCCTGCCAAGCTGCTCGGCACTGACGGCGAACGCGGGCAGGAAGTCCGAAGTCCGACAGGTCAGGAACCTGCCCATCGGCCGAAGGCGGTTCAAACTGAGACATGGCATGGCGAGTCTCCTGCTCCAGCCTTAGGAGCTCAGCTTTCCACTCCTTGAGCTCCGCGTCGGTGTCACCTAGGCCGCGCTGAAGCTCGCCCACGTTCGACTGCTGCTCGTTTCGCACCTTCTGGACCGCGGGATCCGCGAGCAGCCCGTCCAGATGTTTAATGCCGCTCCGCTTAGCGCAGGACGCGTCGGCGCTGGACTGCCATGGCGGCGACCCCTGGGAGCCCTGCTGGCACTGGGCTCGCGCTGGGCTAGGTCTACGCTTGGGTTCCTTGAGCAGTTGCTATTGTGGAGCTGGCACTTCTTGCAGTAAAGGGCTCCATCAACGGTGAATCACGGCTGCCTAATGACGCTGCGAACACAGCAGGGTTCAACCAGTGCTTGGCGGCGACCAAGCGGCGCCATTGCCTCACCCGCATTCGTCCCAGTACGAGCCCCAAGCAGAAAAGCTGGAGGAGACGAAGCCACGGACTGGCGCACAGCCTCATCGTGGCCAAAGTGAAGTGGTACAATTCCTGGAGCTCGCAGAAAAGCTGGGGGGCTTTGAGCAGCCACCTTTAGTCATGTCCAAGCTCCAAGTGCCAGGGACGCAGGTTTCGAACTTGACCCAAAAGGAATACGAAAGGAGGAGGAGGAGGAGGAGGAGGAGGAGGAGGAGGAGGAGGAGGAGGAGGAGAGGAGGAACAGGAAGGAAGAAGAGGAGACGAGGAGGGAGAACGAGGGGGAGAGGAGGAGAAATCCCCGAACGACCCTCCTGTGACCGCCCTGGGGCCCATGTGTGTGTGTGCTCTCCGGGCCTCTGCGCGTCCTGAACCTCGCCTCGCCGTCGGCAGCCTGCTGCGCGGACTCCGTGGCCCCGCCGCCGGAGCCAGAGGCGGCACCGCCGCCCGTCTCCTCGGGCGGGCGGAGACGCTGGGGGGCCCCCCGTGAAGCCCCCTTGGGCGATCCACAAGGGATGCGATGCTCCTGCACGAGATCCCCCTGGGCGACGCGGGCGAGACCCCCCCGGGGCGACCCGACCGCTCTGGAGAAGCCACGCTCGAGACCCCGACTGGGCGGCTGGCGAAGGTGGTCTTGGGCCCTGCCACGTTCTTCGCTCGGGGCTGGACTGTCGTGCTGGAGTGGCGCTGGGGTCCTCTTGGGCGCCCCCTGGAGGCCTTTCGGGGGTGCCACTTGTGCCCGGAGGAGGCCCCTTGGGGCCTCTTGTGGGCCTCTCTGCCGCATCTTGGGGCCCGCTTGGGGGCCCCCTTGGAAGCTTCCTGGTGGCCTTCTGGGGGCCCCTTGGGGCCTCTTTGGGGCCCCGTTGGGGCATCTTCGGGGCTTTGTGCCCAAATGCGCCAGGGGGTAGCTGGCCCTTCTGGACCTTGTAACAACTTGGAAGGGTTTCGGTGCCTCTTGGAGGCAACGTGGGGGTCTCTTGACGGCCTCTGGGCCTCTTGTGCCATCTTTGGGAGACGTGGAGGTCCCCTCGGGCCGACTCGGGTGGTCGGAAAGCCAGAAACTCGAAAAGGCTGAAGAACAAACAACGAAATATAGACATAGACATACGTATGCATACATATACATATACATATACATATACATATACGTATACAGATACACATACGCATACACATACACGTACACGAACATATACATACACGCATACATATACTAATACATATACATATACATTCACATAAACATATACATATACCTATACATATACATATACGTATACGTATACGTATACGTATACGTATACATAGACATATGCATATGCATCTACATATGCATATACATATACATATACATGTACATATACATATGCATGTACATATATACACACAGTTACATATACATTATACACATACATAAACATATACATATACATATATGTATATACATGTACATATACATATACATATAAATATATACATACATATGCATATACATGTATACATACATATACATATACATATACCTAAACATAAACATATACATATGCGGATACGAATACGTATACATGTATATAGATGTACATAGTCATATACAAATACATATACCGATAAACATATATACATATACAAATACAAAAACATAAACATATTAACTGTGCATATACATGTACATACACATATACATATACATATACATATACCTAGACTTACACATATACATATACATATGCATATATACATACACATACACATACCTGCATACCTACATGCATACATGCATGCGTGCACACATACATACATACAGACAACCATACATACATGTATACATGCATACGTACCTACATACCTACACACATACACACGCACATACATACATATCTACATACATGCATGCATACATACATGCATGCATATATACATATATACCTATCTACCTACCTACCTACCTGCCTACCGACCTACCTACCTACATACATACATGCATGCATGCATACATGCATACATACACACATGCATGCATGCATGCATGCATGCATGCATACATATATACATACATACATACATACATACATACATACATACATACATACATACATACATACATACATACATACATACATATAGACATGCATGCATACATACATACATACATGAATGCATGCATGCATACATACATACATCTAGAAGCACACATCTATATACATATATATATACATATATAGGTGTGTATAGTTGTGTATGCACATGCAGAAACATTGTTGAATTGAATGTAGAAGAACAAACAAAACGATGAGTGCCTCCTGAGGCTCTCGCGATGGCCATCTTAAGACCTCTTCGGCCGTCTTGGGAACATATTGGGCCGTCTTGAGGCCATCATGGCCAGAAGGGACTATCCTGGACCGTGTTGGAGATCATCTCGCCAGCCGTGCCGCCCTGACTGGCTTTGCTGGGGCCGTCTTGGATGCGTAACACGCCGCACTTGTGTCCTAGGGGCGACCAGAGGAATCCACCCGCTCTATTACGAAGGTCCCTCCCCTGGGTGTCGACGAACGACCGACCACCCCTACGTACAGACGCCCGGGCCTAGCTCAGACCGGGGGTGAGGCCGGGGCCTCTGAATTATGGTGTCGGGGCACATGCAATGCGAGACACATCAAAAGTCAGGAAGAGAGGAAGGAAAGGAGCAGAAAGTCCTTGGTGTCGGGTAGGCACGTGAATCGTCTCGAGGTCTCGCTATTGGTCTTGTATGCTTGCTCTCGTGGGGTCGGTGTACTGGTGCTCGAGCGTTGTCCAGGTGGCGATGTCTTAGGCTGTGTGTAACGATGTAATGTCGTTGGGCGGTCCGTTAGGGTAGGTTGTTGTGGGCTGTCGGTGGGAGGGGGGGCCCGAAGGGTTAGAGGAACCAAGATGACTCCAAGATGGCTTCAATAGGGCTCCAAGATGGCCTCAAAGGGCTGGAGGGGAACACGATGCGCCTAGAATTGAGTCAACCACGGCGCGGGGTGTGATCGACGGCCCTTCTGGTGCCGAGTCGAGGCGCCGCCGTTCTCGGGGAGGGAGGGGAGAGGATGGAGGGAGGGAGGATGAGGGAGGAGGTGGAGGAGGATGAGGGAGGAGGAGGAGGAGGAGGAATAGGAGAAGGAGGGGAGGAGGAGGAGGAGGAGGAGGAGGAGGAAGAGGAGGAGGATGCGGAGGAGGGAGGAGGGAGCGAGGAGGAGGGAGGAGGAGCAGGAGGAGGAGGGAGGAGGAGGAGGAGGAGGAGAATCAGGAGGGACGTGGTGGCCGCTAGGCTGCGGCGGACTGCTACGGCAAGCAAGCGGGTTGTCAAGAGCCTCAAGCAGGGGGGGCGCCTTCGCCGACTTCGGAAGGCAGGGGCCTCGGTTGTTAAGGTCCACCGTGCTGGGCCTCAGGCGGGCGCTCTGTGGGGGTCCGCGGTGGTAAGCATTCCTCCTCGCAAGCTCCATTGTCTCCGCCTGGCCGCCGTGAGGTCCATGTACAAGGATAAGGGCAGCACAGCCGTGGGGCTGAAATTGAGGACCTCGAGGGAGGGTAGGGAGGTTGACCCGCTCCCCACCTACCATGCCAATGTAGTTTTTCAATGGGCCAGGGCTGTTTGGGAGGGGGTGCCCAAACTTTCTGTCATGCAGCAGGTTTTTATGGCTGCATTCAACCAGATAGGAGCCTCTAGGAAACCGTGGAGTATTGAGACGTCGCCGGCGCACGTCGTGGCGCTGAGCTTCCAGTACTTGGGTTGG